TATATATATATATATATATATATATATAGCAATTTTATTATTATGGTTGCATAGAAAATAGACATAAATATTAATAATAAAATTTTAGTATTAATAATGTTTTTTTCATATGGTGCTAAAATTTTAGATGTTAAACTTGTAAATGCATAAAAATTATGTAGTATATATGTATATCCTCAACAAAAAAAAAAGAAGTAGATTTAAGTATTATTGGATTTAATTTTAATATAAATAATAATAAAATATTTACATATTATATATATATATATATTATTTTGTATATGTTTTTTCCTGAAATAAAGCATTTTTGTTATGTTATAATATATTTGTTTTAAAAAAAATATATATATGTGTGTGTGTGTGTGTGTGTGTGTGTGTGTGTGTGTGTTTTGTTTGCTTCAAGATACAACGGGCATAAAGTAAAAAAAGATATGGGAGACACGTGAGGGATAAAGCGCTAAAAGGAAGAAAAGAGTAGAGATAGTACAGTAATGAATATTAAAATCACGTAATTTTTATTCATGAAATGAATCTCTATTTATAGAAATGAATACAGTAAGATTGCATATGCACCTCTAGTAAAGTAGGTATGTTAGAGAGTGTTTTGGTCAATACATAGTTTTACGACCGACAGCCTAAAATGGTGTTCGGCTCTGATCCGGGCGACCATGGCCGAAGAGTTGGTTGGGAGGTGTCAGTCGTCTGTTTATGATTCAGGCGGCTCCTTCCATCTGCCCGACCTGGGCGAGGAGTCTTGTCGGATTGTCCGTTCGAGGTCCATCTTGATGACCCTTTCGGAGGATTTGTTGACTTTTTTTTCATCATTCAAATCTAACATCTAACAAGAGTCAGGTGAGTAAATGTGGACTCTTGAACTGCACCCCTGGTGTCCTAGCTTACCACGTCATATTCTCTATTGGATGTTGGATTTCTTTGAAATTTGTTGGCATCAATTTTCGATGTCACAAGTGTAGGGTGTCCACCTGTATGACTCAAGATGTTTTACGGTTCGTTCGTAGCATCTGATAGCTCAAGACACCCACCCGAGACCTTTTGACACTTGTTCGAGGAAAGTAGCTAGGTTCAGTGGCAATTCAACCCTACTAGGAAAAGTTCCCTCTGGGAGGCCCATTCGGGACGTGATGCATGATTGGCCCCTAATATAATGATTAGAAGTCACCACATGTCAGTTTGGAACCTCCCACGATAACAGGAAGTCACAAAGTCCACCTACGTGCTCTACGGGGCCTAGGGCCGACCATGGGGGCCCACACACCCAAAATACATTTTTGGACCGTTGTGCTCGAGCCTCTGGAGGTCTAAAAGATTTGAAATTTTGTCACGAACCGACACCTAGATGCTGAAGAAACGGGGCACCAATGCCCCAAAGAGGCCAAAAGTCGTCATTTTCTTGAGAGCTTGGCGCCTAGGCACCACTTGGGCATCGCCAAGCCCTCAATATGTCTGGCTGGGGCCTTGGCGCCAGGTTGAGTGGTGCCTAGGCGTCGGTCAACTTCCAGACACAATTCCTTGCCATTTTTGACACTGTTTTGACTTTTAAGGTTTCTGTTTTCACAGGAATTTCAATCATGAGTCTAGGGAGTGGGAAAAGGTGGTGTGAAAGGGCCCTTTTGCCCTCACTTTAGAAGCTTCTTAGGCATCTATTGGGGCCTTTTGGTCATTTGGAGGTGCTCGGTTGGCTTAACTGAGCAACCTCTCACATTCAGAGAGGATCGACGCAATTTTGTTTAGGGGACCCAAAGGAGTGCAGGGGAGCTTGGAAAGAGCTTTTGGAGAGTGTTGTGAGGGATTCCTTGGAGAGCTAGGGTTCTTCTTCTTCTTCATCATTCTTCTCCATTCTCTATTTTCTTTGAGGGCTTGAACTTTGGGGTTTTTTTCTTTGAGAGAGGAGCTAAGGGTGACAACCTGTAGGACTTCTGCGATCTGGCCTGACACCTGGTTCACTATCAGGGTTATCAACTCCTATAATTCCCACTAAACAAACTCTTTCATAAATTCTCTAGTACATTATGCGTTGGCTATGTCTCTCTAATGACTTTTCTTTTGTTGTTGTTGCTATTGTGCTCTTCTTCTTGTCGACAACAAAACTCCACGCTCATCGCACCATTTAGGATGTTAAATTAAAATATGTACAGGAGACACTCCTAAGGAATAAAACGTGAAAAGGAAGAAAAAGACTGAGAGAGCATATTAATGAACAAATAAAATCGTGTAACATTTTTTTCACGAAACGAGCCCTTATTTATAGAAATGGGGGCCGTAAGATTACATTTGTACCACTAGCAAAGTAGATACAGTAAGGGATATGTCAGACAATACATAATTGTAAAGTCGGGAGCTTGAAATGGCATCTGACAGGTTTATGATCCAGGCGGCTATGGTAGAAGGGTTGACCAGGAGGTGTAGGTCGTTTATCTAAGATTCATGCTGCTCATTCCATCCCCCCAGCTTGGGTGAGGAATCCCGTCTAATTGTCCGTGCGAGGTCCATCCTGGTGACCCTTTAGGAGGATTTGTTGAATTTCATTCGTCAAGTAGTTAGATTTCTCAGGGCTAGCATGAGTAGGGCGGATACATGGGGACTCTAGAATTGCGCCTAGTGGGTTCCAGCTTGCCACGCCATCTTCTCTGTTGGTTATTGGATTTCTTTGCTATATAAAAACTTTTGTGTTGGATATGTAAATCCATATATGAATTGTGTCGCATGTATGTAAACCTTCCTATAATTAAAAAGAACAATAGTAATACAAGTTCATCAAATAACAATTTAATAGAATTAATAAGAAAAGAAAATTTTATCACCGAACTTTCTAAAATTGGCCTTTGTTGGTTTTCATAAAAGACCTAAGTAAATCTTTAATACTACTTATTTGTATTTTTACTATATATATATA